CGTCGGTCACGTAGCCGGGTTCTGTCGGTTCGCGTCGGTTCGACGGTGTTTCTCGTCTTTGATTCGATCGAAAATCGAAATCGGTCGTGTTTCGTTGAGTTTTTCGAAAGGTGTCGCTTTGTTTTCTCTCCGATGTGTTGATCTCCGATGCGGTTCCTTCGAGTCCGACTTCCGGGGTTGTGCCTTTTGGCCGAAGATCGAACGATTATTTAGCCGGTTCGCGTCGTTTCAACGAGGGTATCGATTCGAGAGCGTCGAAGTTTCCCGGAACGCGCGCTGGTTCGCTTTCGTTTTCACCGAGCGAAACGCGAAACGGGAAACGCCGTCGTAATAATACGGCGCGCGACATTGATCGCGATTGTCGGTGGCCCGTCCGGCGGCACCTGTTTCCCTTCGCGGATTTTTCCAAGGGTCGCTCGTTCTACGCGTCTTCCATCCGGTCGATTAATAAAATACCATATGTAGACCGTCGAATCGAGTCTCCGGCGCATAAATCGATTTCGAAAACTCGAAGAGCAGCGAAGCGAGCGCGGTCCTGTAGCCACGGCTACTACTACGCTAGTCGGTGCAACCGAAAACACGCTGCTCGTATCAAAATCAGTCGAAACTCGAACGTCGAATCTATACTCCACCGAGGCGAGAGACGTTTCGAGAAACGTTCGATTAAACCGCCGAAAAGCGCGCGATGAACATTCTGAAAATCCGAGAGAGAGCAGCGTGTCAGGAATCAACCATCGGCCATTTTCGAAAGCAGCAGTCGAACGCACCGAAACCTCGAAGCAGCAGCTACAATCAAAACGCGGAGGGATCAACCGGGAGAAGAAGCCTATTTTCTAAAACTCACTGGTTCGAACCTGCGATCGGAATTAGGGGCGAGCGAGAGCAACCCCTGGTGCACCGTACGAGCCGGATCCAGAAGCAGGGAAACCGGAAGTGCCGGAGGAACAGGGGAAAGACAGGGACACAGAGTATATCAGTCGGGGGAAAGCGTGTCGAGGGGCGTGCGACACGCGTTCCGCGACCTCCGTCCATCTTGTTTTCGCGTAGCCGGTGTCCTCCAACCCCCGTCGCGACTTCCGGTGTCGCCGGCGGAGAGAGAGGGCGACCGCACCGTGAAGAAGAAGGAGCGGTTTATCGGTGAACGGCACACGCCGGTTGCACGCGCACGCACGTACACGCAGCACACGCAGCACACGCCGGTCCGCGGCGGTCCGCGGTCTCGATCCATCCCCCTTTTTTCTCTTGCTCTCTCTCTCTCGATCGTCAGGGCGGCGTCGTCGTCGTCGTCGTCGTCGTCGTCGTCGTCGTCGCCGTAGCCGTAGTCATGGGCGGATGTACGTCGAAGGACACCACCTCCAGCGATGAGTATGTATATTCGACGCCGAAAACCTCCAGTATTTTCGTAGTGTTTCGCCGGTTGGATCACGAGGGATGATTCGCTCGGAACGCGTGTCGAGTTTCCGTTTGTTCGGTCGCATCGTCGAGGAGGTTTTTACTTGTCGCTGAATTTTATACGAGAATTACGAGTATTCTTTTTGTATGCGAATGAGGAAATTCGATCGATGCGATAGCACGTTTATGGTAACGATTGTCGACGCGGATCGTCGACAAACATTGAAATCGACGATTCGTCGGGGAAGCTTCTCCGGTGGAAAGACTTTAGAATGGTTCGGTCGTCGAATGAAACGAGCGATCCTAGTTTCCCAGTAATTCCAACGACTCGTAGATACCGTTGCACGGTGCGAATATATATTTTCGGGGGGGGGATGTTCCCGGCGTCCAGTGATGCAAGAGTATGTTGTGTCAGACGCGTGGAGAATACGATTCTGTTGCACGCGTGTGCGTGGTCCGAAGCGCTCGAGACACGCCGCGCGTGTAAACTGGATCGGCGAGCTTCGGGGTAACGATTAATAAACTTGTACATTCTTGTCTTCCTGTTTCTATAAATTCACGAACACGATACCGTGCGTTATACCTGTGGCGGAAAAAGATTTCGGTGCCGGTGAACGCGTTAATCGGGGACTCGATGTTCGCGATTGACGCCGACAACGGGTTTTCCGGTGAATGGGCGTACCGTGTACAGAGAGAATTTCCCGTTGACTTTCTTCCGTTATTCGAGTACACGGTGGAATATCGAGTACCCCGCGGTGAACGGCGAAAGGGGCTACGCCGAGTTTACACTAGCCGGCGACCTAACCACCCGGCGTGTGCGTCGGCTCACACAAAAGGGTTAACCCTTCGCCGTTCCCGTACAGGGGCGTGGACGGGAAGCAGGTCAGCTGAAAAATTTTATTTGCATTTCGCACGATATGTCGAACTTCCGTGGGTCTCGGCGTCGTCACTCGAGCGATAGCTGGTAGAAAACACTGGTTCTATAGCAATCAAACGTTTGTTCGTACATTCACAAATTTGCTTGTCGCAACAATTTCCTGCAAGCTAGTCGAGTCCAACACAATTGCAATTGAAAATCGCATACTCTCCAGCGAATCGTGACAAAGTTCCTAAAGGCGAATGAAATTCGAAAGCGTGTTGCACGTGCCGCGGAATAGAAATCAAGGACCGAAATCGGGAATAGAGAAATCAGCCGACGAAGGAAGCTTTCGAACGCGATGAGACAGCTCGCGCCACGATCTTCTCGATCGACGCCGCCAACTCGAGGTTGTACTCTCTGTTGAGAAACGGGAGGACCGTACCGGCACGACCGGCTGTTCGCGCCGCTTTATAAATAGACGCGCATAACCCGGCCCGATAATCGAGGCATAATCGGCGCATAATCCTCGACAATGGGCATATGCGAATCATCGGACGAGACGACCGTCGAGGACGAGTACGTATTCGCATAGATAGGTACACTCTTTCTCTTTCTCGCTCTGTGTTGAACGTTGTCGACAGGCTCACGACCGGCAAATTCGCTCGAGTTCAGTCTTTGTTGGCTAATTATTTCGGGGCAAGCTTCGATCGAAGATAAACGCCACTCGTGGGAACGTTTTTATGGGTTATTCGAGCCAGAAACTCTGCGAACATTTCATTCGTTGGGAATAATTAGTAATTTCTTGGTAATAATCTTTGCAGCGGATCGAGGAGACGTTGGATTCGGTTCTCCTGATGGGAAATTATAAGAATCTGTTGACCGTACGGCGATTAACTTTTGAAAAAGCAACTGCTAGTATTCTCCGAATAAATATCCCTAGTCTAGTCCTCGCGATGTTCGATCGAATAATAAAGGACGAATCGAGGTTGCGCCCCTGGGGTCAACAGGTTCAGGGGGAACGAGCCGTCTGCGAAAATTCCACTTTGACCCCGGTGGGTTTTGATTGGGTTCGAGCGAAGCACTCGGTGTACCGCCTCAACAAGTGCACCACCGAGAGACACGCCTTCCACGTTGATCGCACTACTACCTACTACTACCTAGTACCTTTCGAAACAGTTTCTGCTGCTCTAACTCGATTTGCCAGTTGAACTTTCGACGTTTCGCGACTTTGCGCGACTTTGCGCGACGCGCCTGACTACTTCGAGAACTCGCGACTCGGGAAAATCAGACAGGAAATTCGTTGCGGGAGATCGGTAATCCCGATTATTTCCTCGTTCGCCTCGATTACGTAGCTTTACGATGTTCCACTTGGACGTTGCAATGCCCTAAACTCTTGACATAAGAGTCCACCGATCTGAACGACGTAAACTAATGATGATTTGACTTGAAACGTATCGATACGGTCGCTGCGCGAAATCGACGCGATTCCACGCGCAACTTCTCGGTATTCCGAGCTTGTTAATTATTCGATCGAGACGATCTCGCGGAATAACGCGGTTATTATGCATCGGTTTCGCGAAGCACGCGCTAGGGAACCACGTGCGCCCGAGGGTTGCGAGGGCTGCGAGGGCTGCGAGGGCTGCGAAGGCTGCGAGGGTCGCGAGGGCTGCCCTTTCTCGCCAGGAATCGATCGATCGCCATCCAGAGTTGTTCTTCCCCTCGGATGGTTCCCTCTAAGCTTATAAACCTGCTCCGCGCCTCGAACGGAGCTGCGACGCGATCTCTGCCCGTTCGATCCTCGATCAGGCCGATCCAGACGTGAGTAACGCGTTATTCTTTCGAACCGGACTCGATTTCTTCGTTATTCCGGAAGAGGTTGCGTCAATTATATCGCGAAAGAACAGTTGAAAGAAATCGTTGAATCGTTCGGTAAAATAGAGACAGCCTCGTCGTTGTCGCCGATTTATCATTAAAATTATTACCGTTTATTTATCGCTACGAATGTCCGGTAATTTCGGTCGTAACATTAATTTCGCGTATCTCTTTATTGTGACATTTTCTATAGATTCCCATTTTGTATAGGCTCTTATCGGCTGGTTATATAATTTTTCCAACGTCCGCCTATCGAACATCGAATAATTGTTATCCCAACTATAGATTGCGCGTTATCTCGTTCCAGCGACGATTTCGATCGTTTGCCGTTGCTAATCCGAGCATTAACAGCGTTGATGTTATATATCGATTGAACGATATTAATGAAATCACGATAACGAGCGACCGTTATCTCGGCGTTGTCGATAAATGTGCGGGCAAACAGTCGCGTAACACCGAAAGATAAGATTTCCCGATAAAGATTCGAACGAGCACCTTGAACGGAGATCGTCACGCGTCCACCGAGACACTGTCGACTGGCTTCTCGGCACCCAGGCACGCACGATGAGAACCGTTATGCGCGTCGTTGCTACTCGAAGGAACCGTCTGATACTATTTATTGCCATTTTACTGTCCTTTCTTTGCTTCACGTAACAATACATCTCTCTGAATTAGCGAAATTGAACTTCTCGAAATACGCCATTATCCTCCTTTCTTTCATGAGAATCTGAAATTGTTTACACCAATTATCCCCTTACACTTGCGCGGTTTACACGTTGTCGATCACGAATCGGTGTACAATCGTTGTTTCCTGAATGTTCAATGTTCCCTTTGTCGGGCAGGATGCGTTTAATGATATTTTTCAATGTCCTCGCAGCAAGAAAACGAGCAACATGGTGGACCAGGCAGTACTGGACAAGCTTGAGGCTGGCTTCAACAAGCTTTCCAGCTCCGACAGCAAGTCGTTGCTGAAGAAGTACCTGACGAAGGAGATCTTCGACAACCTGAAGACGAAGAAGACTTCCCTGGGCGCCACCCTCCTCGACGTGATACAATCCGGCGTGGAGAACCTGGACTCGGGCGTTGGTATCTACGCCCCTGACGCCGAGTCCTACACAGTTTTCGCTGACCTCTTCGACCCGATCATCGAAGACTACCACGGTGGCTTCAAGAAGACCGACAAGCATCCCGCCAAAGATTTCGGCGATGTCGACACCCTTGGAAACCTTGACCCGGCCGTTAGTATATATAGTTGGAAACTAACTTTTGCTCGTGCAACTTAGACTTATAATTATTAGTCTTCCTTCGTCTTCGATGCACAGCTGATGGATGCTAGTTGGATGGGAATAATATTGATGCTATTTCATTGACACAGGGCGAATACGTGGTTTCCACTCGCGTCAGATGCGGACGATCCATGGAAGGCTACCCCTTCAACCCCTGCTTGACCGAGGCCCAGTACAAGGAGATGGAAGAGAAGGTCTCCTCCACTCTGTCCGGCTTGGAGGGCGAGCTCAAGGGAACCTTCTACCCGTTGACCGGCATGAGCAAGGAGGTCCAGCAGAAGTTGATCGACGACCACTTCTTGTTCAAGGAGGGTGACCGCTTCTTGCAGGCTGCCAACGCTTGCCGTTACTGGCCAACTGGCCGTGGTATCTACCACAACGACGCCAAGACCTTCTTGGTCTGGTGCAACGAGGAGGATCACTTGCGTATCATCTCCATGCAGATGGGTGGTGATCTTGGACAGGTAAACTGCAGTTCGAGGCCAACTCTGGACCGAGAGACTCCTCAACGTGTTCTCCAGGTTCAGATTTTCTCTCGTTTCTTCTTGCAACTTTCGAATAACTGACGTACGTCGAAAAAGTGGCACTTTGAACGAACGGTGTTTGTTGGTGGTGCCTTTGCGCGCAACGAAAGAAGAAACGATTGAAATTGACCTCGCAACCTTGTAGAAACTCGAGAATATAGAGCGCGCGTGAGCCAGATCTGTGCACAGTCGGTGGTTTGTTGTCGCAGGTGTACCGCCGTTTGGTGAACGCCGTGAACGAGATCGAGAAGCGGGTCCCATTCTCCCACAACGATCGTCTCGGCTTCCTGACCTTCTGCCCGTCGAACTTGGGCACCACGGTGCGCGCCTCCGTGCACATCAAAGTGCCGAAGCTGGCCGCGAACAGGGAGAAGCTCGAGGAAATCGCCGCCAAGTTCAATCTTCAGGTGCGCGGAACCCGCGGCGAGCACACCGAGGCCGAGGGCGGTATCTACGATATCTCCAACAAGCGGCGCCTCGGTCTGACCGAGTACCAGGCCGTCAAGGAGATGCACGACGGCATCGCCGAGCTGATCAAGATCGAGAAGGAACTCTAAATCGATCGCGCCCAATTTAACCGACAACGCGACCGTTCCCATCAAACCTATCCCCCCCTGTCCTTGCTCCCACTTTAGAGACACTCGACGCGTCGACGGGGACTCGCTCTGGATCCAATGGAAAATCGGAGAAACGTTTCGAAGATCAAAGATGCTTTCTCGGATGTTTCCGCGT